GGGAAGGAAGGAAGGAAGGAAGGAAGGAAGGAAGGAAGGAAAGAGGCTAGGCCAAAAATGGAAGTATGTGTTTATTTAAATCTTAAGAAATAATAACCTTTAGATTTGATATCATATCAGCATTGGAAATTACAATGAGGAAACAAAAACTGTCAGGAAGTTAAAATCATCCTCTCGGCTGGTATTCCATGTGACAGCTTTACTGAAAGATGTTTTCATTTATAATAAACTCAAAAAACAAAAACATCTTAGATGAGTTAGAAAATGTTAGATCAGGATTGACCAGGGCGACATGAAAATGAAAGATGAGACCAACCTCAGGGGCAGAGTGTTCTTTATTAGAGCAATGAGAGGCAACAGTTTCTCTGTGCAATGAAAACTGTGCTGACGTATAGTTGGTCTGGATTTTTTAAGAGGGTTAAAAGGAGGAAACAGAGAGTATCTTTCCACAGATGTTTTTCAGCAGTTTGAGGGTTTGGGATAGTAAGTTCTGGCATATGTTTTCCGCAGATATTACAGATTATGGGTTGGGAGTTTTTCAACCTAGCTTGGATATGAGGCTTTCTCAGTCTGGCTTGGGACTTTCCAAGGTGACACATTTATCCTTCAAGATGAAGCACAGAGTTCACCTGAGATCCATTAAAGTCCTTACTGACTCTCATCTCAAGAAATGACATAGTTGTAAAGGCAGTAGATGGCTCCACAGGTCAAGGCACTTGCTGCCAAGTGAGAGGAATCAAATTCAAAACCTAGACTGCTGGGAAGGCAAGAACTGATTCCCAGAAGTTGTTCTCTGATTTCCATATGTACACCATCATATGTACGCACGCACGCGCGTGCGCACACACACACACACACGCACATACACATGCACGCACGCTATAAAATGTAAATTCAAAACTATTTTAAAAAATGAATGGCATAGTTACATAATCTGTTAGACAATTATTCCAGCATCCACTGTACTTGTAAAATGATTAAGCAGGGAATCCTTTGAGGATCAAGCAGCCATTTCTTTTGAATTATGGGGGAAGAGTAAAATAAATAATTGTGCAGAAAAATTCCAGTGAAGGAATGTTCACTGTTCAAAAGTGACTTTAAGGCAAAATCCAGAAAATTCAAGTTTACAGTTCCCAGAACTACCAAACATCAGCCTCATTGTAAAAGCCAGTGGCTGCCGTCCCTCAGCAGCCCAGGTTACATTTGGATGTGAATCCTAAACTGTGGGAAATAGCTAACCTCACAAACTTCACTGCAAAGCAGACCTCTGGTTAAGGCATTTTTAATGTTTGTTATATTTTTCTAGCCTTGTACATAGAAAATGTCTCATTCAAGATCTCAGATCTCTAGGAGGTTCAAGGTATTGAGTCAAGGGGGGTGGAGAAATGGTTTGCCACTATCCACTTCCAGGGGATGTGATAGTCTCCTCAGGCCACCATGACACACATGTACATATACACATACAAAAACACACTTTAAAAATATTAAAGTGAATTGTTTTCTAAAAAGACACTAACTTACTGGAAATGTATTATTATTTGATTGTTATTCTTGTTATCTGTTTTTATGATGATCAATGTACACAATTTTAGATTAGCTTATATCAGAGAAGTGTCAAAACATTGAGAACCTTTGATTCCAAAAGTTTCTCTTGCAACCGGTCATATTCAATGTGGATTAGGGTTCCAGTCTAGGAAGGCAAAGATGAAAGAGTGAAAAACATAACCTTGACAGAGGGCATTCTGCTTGTATCCCTATGAGGCAGAAAAGTAGGGTGGAAAAGTGCGGCCCAGGGAGAACCTTGTGCAAATGCTGCAAACTTACAAAAAGAAAGAGCCAGTTGGCCCAGGGAAAGACTGCAACCTGCCCAATCCCCAAGCTCCCAGGACAACTAAATATGCCACTAGCACAGGTGTAGAAGCATTCCGGAGGGTTTGAAGGTGTCCTGTGGCTTGTCATAATACCCAAATCTCACAAACCCCTGGGTGGTGATTTAAGATGTTAAAGAAATGGGATGCTTGAAGCCATGTGTAGCACTACAGGTAATGGTAACAAAGCATGCACAAGAAGGCCTACATTATGCAAAGGACTCAAGAAGCCCTAACTGTTTATACAGGAGATCTGTTTGAGCTACTGAGCTCTCTCTTGGCTCTAACCCACTTGCCACCTCTTTCTTAGTAAATTCTTTTGGCTTGCTTGTCTCTCTTCCATTCCTTGTTCTGGGACACAAAAGTCTGGACCACCCTCCGGAGATGCCCAACAATGCATACAGCACTTGGGGAGGACCTGAGTGCAGTGCTTCACAACTCTCTGGAACTCCATCTCTAGTGGATCCTGTGCCTCTAGGTTGCACTTCTACAGCATACTTACACACACACATAATAAAAATAAACCTTTAAAAAAATCTTAAAACTATGAAGCAAAAATTTACATATTCATATATACATATATATATATATGATGTTAAATGTTCTGAGTGTTAATTAAATGATCGATTAAGAATATGTCTAATTAATGCTAAATGCCCACTTAATATTAACATCAAGGTGAGAAAGAAGAATCAGAAAATAGAAAATAAGTCCAAAGAGTTAGATTAATGGACTGTGTTAGACCAGAGCACCATATCTGTTTTGAAGTAGGAAAATTAAAGCAAAATCTCACATCAAGACTTAATTTTCAGTTTTTTAGATAATACAGAAAACTTCAAATGTGAAAGAACACCCCTCTGATTACCCCCCATGCATATTAAAGCAAATTAAATTTCATTCCAAATCTCCCAGATAGTCAATGAGCAGCACAATTTCAATTTGTAGGATTTAAACCGATTGCTCCAAAAATATAATTCACCAGTTTGGGCAGCATTGAAGTCAAACATAGTACTGCTTAATCACTTCTCTTGACAAGTTATTTTCCCAGGAGTGTAGCCACTGCAGAACTGTAGGTTGACTCATCTCAACGAAGTGAGGGGTTTCAGTCTAGACTCAGCATGGGATAACAAACCAACCTCTGGTGAGGTCCTTTCCCTGACTAGTAGTGACCTGCATCTGTGCCTTTTGTTGGTCTGACTGCTGTGAAAGAAAGTCCCCAGAAATAATTCCTGCATCTCCGACTAAATTTCCTGAAAAGCTGACCAACTGATTAGCAGTCTGGAGGTCATGGAGAATCTGGAATATTGCAGACCCACAGCCTATTGACAAATCATCTAGGAACAACTTTAACCCCATAAATAGCTACACTGTGCCTACCTCTGTTTCTGAATTAACATTCTTATGACTAATAAAATGTATTAACTTAGCAGACCACCAGCTCTCCCCAATGAAAAAGCTAAGACTGACAGCATCTGAAATCTATGGTAGAACCCCCTTCACCCCCACTTTGCTATGACCTGCCTACTGAATGTATCCACCAATGTATTTGAAAAGTGTCTTATGATTTTTCTTTATTCTGTTATTATAAAAACATAATGTAACTGTTACCACACTGAAATATGGAATTTGGGTATCCTGAATCTCTGTTCCCAGGATGGTCACTCATATTTGGCTCCAGAATAAACTCTCTCTTATCCCCTTTGAGGTGAGAGTTATGCTTTTGCGTTGACACCACTAAATGCTTCCTGGTTTAGTGTTAACCTCTGTGGGAAAGAAGGAACCTGTTAAGGCTCTCCATCCTCAGATTTATGCTTCATTTTTATCTATAGTTTCATGTGCTATAAAAGCAATGAACCTTCTTTTTTTTCTTTTATTATGTTCTCACAATTGCATATAAATAACTACTGGGGTAGATCACAAGAAAAGATGATAAAACACACCTGTTTTCTTTATGTAGGTCACCACATCCCTAACTTGCCTTGTCAAAGTTGTTTCCCAAAATTTCCACAGGTGAATTTTGACTAACTTATATCCCTTGCTTTGAAATGCAGTGTCATATTCCAACATGCAAAACACTTTTGTCATACTTGAGGCCAAGGTTAACACTATCAAAGGCCTTCAAATTCATGGACTCATGAATACTGTCAGTAATCTATGGTTGTGGGACACTGGGAATGGGGTAGGCAGTTATTCTAGCTAACAAGAAAATGTCAGTGTTCAAATTGGCCCCAAATGCTTTACTGCTTTACCTTGCTTAGTTTCCACTAAAACCTTATGGTAGAAAAAATTTTAAATAACTTTTAGTTTTACCAAGAGAGACTTAATAGATGAATACAGAGACAACATTTATGGAATCAGGACTTTTTTTGGTTTTAAACAGAACGATGAGTATTTATTAAAAGATTTAATAAATATTTACAAAGTCACATTTATTAAAAGATTTAATTTTTTTATGTGCATGTATGTGTGTGTGAATATATGCACGTGAGTATAG